CCCATTTTCCTAGAACTTAATTCAGAAGTCTTTAATTCTTCTGTCTTTTTCATGTGCAGTTAAGAGCTTTTCAGACAGCTGTTACTGCAGAACTAACTTTGTGTTAGGGGCACACTTATTTTTTATACTTCCTAATAATCAAATTATTTTTTCTAGTTCTAAAAAAGCACCTTTTTAAAGCCAAATTGGATACACACTTCTATTATTCCGTTCACGTTTACATTCTCGTGTGTCTGATAAGGCTACTGAATTATACATTTCTTACCATAACTACACAGGGGCACATTTTGAAGCTTTTGGTAACAAAATATGAAAGTATGAAGGTTTGTCTGCATACGTAATTCCACATGTTCCCTAAAATTAAATAGGGAAACCAGACTAACGATGCAATGGTTAACTACTAACACTCAGGAGTGCAATGCCCTTCCTTCATCAGTATTTAGATCAGAATTTGCTCAGGGTATCATCTGTTTTTCTGTTTTAGAGATATTTCACCTGCTTAGCACTTAACACTAATACTGGAAACTAAATTGGTTTCCCCTTAACTAGAAGTAATCTTAAAGTGCCCTGATGCTGCTTAATCTAGAATTACTACAATTTTAATTATCGTATTTGCCTCCCCTTTCCAGAGTGAATGCAGTTCTTGACAAGCTGTACTTCCACTTTAAAAGCAGAATTTATAAATCTTTGTTTTTAAAGGGGGACAAGAAGATCACATCCTGGTGATACCTGATACAGTATTCTACCCACCCCGAAAAGCACTATATGTGGAGTGAATAATATACTAATTTTGTACCTTACTGTATATTGTTTGTAATATTTTAATTCAATTGTTCACAGCTAGACTACGAAGGCTAAAACACAACAGTAACGTCTCTATCTTAAACACACAACTTCTCAGGGCAAACTTCAGACAGTCTACAGTATGCCACCCACTATACTTAACTGGAAAGGACGATACTCATATTTTCCTGAACGTTAAACAATAGGTTTCATTAGCTTTCTCTAGAATCTCACCAGTGCAGGTTCATTCTTCTTTAACTATGTCAAACTTGTAACTCACCATCAGCCTATGATTTGGGAAATGACATGTCAACTTTTATACTGTTTACCATTCATATAAAATATTAAAAGAGGATTGTTTTTGTAACCAGGAAATAACCTACCTAGCACCAAAGAAATAATGCCTTCTACTCATCACCCAAGGCAGTCTTCTTCATAACAAAATAAAATAATGAAGAAAACTAGAAAACACCAACATGGTAAGAATAGGAAACACATCTGGCATTTGTGCTTGACAAAAAATATTAAATTTTGGATCTAGTACCCAAGCTATTTACAAAACATGCTTTCACTAAGGGAGGATTCTCTTCTTGTTTTACAATTTAAAAGAAATAAGGGAATAGACCAAATCCTTAGAAACAAACATGACTTATAGTGAAACAATGATATAAGTTAGCATTTCAGTGAATGAACTTTCGTCAAATAGGTTTTAAAATTTTCATAATACCAAGACATACCCAAGCAAACTAAAACAATGCCCCAATAGCAAGGATGATAAATGAATTGCCCTACTGGTTTTAAGATCATATCTGTAAAAATTAATACTTTGGTTATGGTTTTTAAATGGGTAGAAGTGATAGGTTTATCCATGACTGCCCCCTAAAAATAAGATTAGCTGAATCAAAAGCAAATTGCTCTAAATTCTAGTAAGTGCGCTATTTTACTAAGTTATGTATATGCAATTAAGATCAAGCAACTGAGTAAATAGTCTCTCTTCCACACCATAGGAACAATATCCTCTTATCCCCTTTTTCATTCTCTGGTGCACAATTAACAAGTTACCAATGAAAGAGCAGCACATAACCTAATGATGTAATATTGGAAAGCTGAGATCTGAATCTTCTGTCTATTCTTAAAGAATCACCAATACCAATGGGAGGACCCTGAACTGTATTGGGGCTATCATGCTTTCCCAATTAAAATTCTCCAGTCCCATTACTATTTATTCTATGAGGAAAAACATGTAGATTAAGAGATTAAAAATATGCATTATTTTTAAGCTAGAAGACATGAATAATTAAAATCTTATGATTGAAAAGTTTTCTATTTATTACACATTTTCTTAGCAAAGGCCCACAATAATTTTTAATATTACTGCTCCTATTATTGTATTATTTAAGGTGTTGTTTTTGATTCAAACACAGATAGATAATGCTGCCGCTTTTAGAATTGAGCTTTATGCCACCTTGGCAAAATGTGTTCCAAAACCCATACAGTATTTAATGTTATTTTTCCTCAATGATCTGATGATTGACTTTGATATATACTCAGCTAGTCCAAGTGGATTGATGAAAAGGAGAAAGATGAGTTTAGTCTATCCTGCATCATTGATTTTCCAAGTCTGTTCCAAAGTTGTTTTTCACTTCTCCTCTACGGCTGAATTTACTTCTGGTCCAGTAACAGGAAAAATACATACATACATTCTTACATACATGCATATAAACAGGCAATCAGGGGATGGGTGATAGCAATCTCCCACACTGACTTTTCTCTACAAATATCTAACATCTCATTTTTGCATTTGCCATAAGAATTTTCTTGAGGATCTTTCTTAAAACCAAAAGGTCAAATAATAAATGAAATATTATGGAAAGCACATAGGAACTGTTCTCTTGGCATGCAATCAGCAAAAATCTGTCTGATTTACTGTCTATGCTACTGATTGCTATCTTTATTTAAGACCTGTACAGGAATAAAGCTAGGACAAAAAGGGCAGTATAGTGGGATTCTAAGGCTAAACACAGAATCAATTTTTTAAAGTTTGGTAGCTTGTAAAATCTATCTTATTCCACTGGTAAAAGAGATTTTAGCACAAGTTCTATTTCCTGTCTTCAGTGGCATGAATTAAATTTCCTGTTCCATCATACTTTTTCTCAGTCTTCTTTATTTTACTTAAAAGATTAAACACTTTGCAGTTTTAAGAGAATCTTGTCTTGCAAAATAACGGCATGCATGTTATTAATGCCATCAAATATTCGTAACCCACCCATATCTTGTTATGGCTTGTGATATCAGAAATTTAAAACTGGAAGAGAGCAAACTCTTATAACAAACTATTGACCTGTAAATAGCTTTAGGCTTAAGTGGCCTTCTTGACTCTGGAGCTTTTCATTGGAGTAGGAGTGAAGAATATGGCCTATGCAATTCAACTGTGAATACACACATATATACTTCCATGAAAATGCAAGGAATTCAATTGCTTAAGGATCACATTACATTTTAGAATGATTTGCTGGCTTACTTGCCAATATCTGGGGGAAACTACTTAATCATTAAAACATAAATGATTGTCAGAGGTCATTTAATTTATTCACCTCATGAGTTTACCCAACTTTCTTTATTTGACTTGGGGTATGGACTGAAACTCTCTTTCAGATGATTTATCTGAATTTTAGAAAGCATGATAAGATCTACTTTTAAAATTCATTTTCTTTTAATTGTGATTGTGTGTGCTGCTTTATTCTTGACTGAAAATGAGTAAAATTGCCACAAATCGATATGTACATATTCTGATATGAAAGAGAAATTCTCTGTTTAAATGGGTTAGTGTGGATCTGGCTGGGAAGATGATGGGGGCCTAGTTTAGTTGTTGTTTAATTAAAGTGGGAAAGGAAAAGGAAAAGCACTTGAAGAAAAGGAATAGAGGAATGCTGATTTTTACTTGCCAGGCCTGGAAGTGCCCTGAGCTGTGCAGAATAGATGACATGAGTGTGCCAGTAATGCCATCCGCAGGCGCTGAGATGAACCTCCTGACATTGTCCAGAGGCTGCAGGACACACACTGGATGGGCATATTCTAAAAAAGGAGAAAAAACTCCTGACAATATTATTAGACTGAAGCTATAGAAACACAGACTGGTGGGGACACATAAGGTGGCCAGAAGGTAGACAACTGGGTTTAACACAGAAGGGTCTTGTCATTGTTGAAGAAAAAGTGTCATAAAGATGGAAGTGGCATCCAGGAAAGCTGGATTATTGTTGGAACCTTGACCTCTTAAAAGCAAATGAAAAAGAAAAAGAAGCAAGAAATACTATAGAAGCAACAGGAGGAGGAAGGGAAGTTTGGGGTAGATCCTTTTGAGTACAGCAAAAGATAAATCTAGAAATATTCTGCAGCCATCCAATTTGGTTTTCAAAGTCTATGTCTAAGCAAATTAGATATAGTGCTAAAAATAAACCAGGCATTTCTGTTTCAATTGCAAGATAACAAAACTAAAGGAGAGCTGAAAAAAAAATGAAAAAAAATAATAATTAAATACGGTAGGGACATGTGTTCATCTATACAATATAGTCAAGCTGAAAAAAAAGAGGCCATGAAAACAAAAGAAAGGGGTTCCAAACTATCCCTTCCACTCTTAACTCTCCCTTGAGAAACTTGTTCCTGTGTGGGATAGCAGGCACTGAAAATTCATTTATTGCTCTAATGCTGCCACACTATTTGTGCAGGAGTGCCTATCTGAATGTTTGCAGTTTACAAGCTGCGAGCATGCTGATATATTAAACTGATCCAACAAAAGGAATTAGGAGGGGAGGGGAATCAAGCAAAGAAACAAAATCCTGACCCCAATTTTCCTTCTAATTAAACAAAACCTTTTTCTCTTTGCTGATCTGACATTTACCTAAATATTGTTTGTACACCTCTGCCCCCTCCCCAACCCTCAGCTTTCAGCAAAAGAGATTTTTTTTACCATAAGAAGTTATAGGCATCACAGGTAGGACAGAACCAGGAAATCAAGAAAGACTACCTGTTATTTTCAGTTATTTTTCAAATAACTGAATGTGATGGACTCATCCTAGTGCACATCTTAAGTTAGCAGTTTGCTAATCAGGGATGAAAGGAAACATATAGAGAAAAAGAAAATTTTGGAGAAAAACAGCTGTCCATAAAATTAAACATAAAAACCAAAAACCATGATCAGTGTTATTTGTAGGACCTACCAGGAGTGTGAACAAAATACGCCAAGTAAAGATCCAGTTCTTTAATTGTGACTCCAATGTGGTGTGGCTGGACGCAAAGGCCCGGGTTTGAGCACTGCGGCGACTTGTATAGCCGCTCCCCATCAGTACTTTCAAGGGGGATCCCTTTGAACAAGATGACCATAACTAGGTCCAGCCTCCAAACCTTGTCAGCCTGCCTCAGGCAGTCAATCCTGCGAATTTTGCCTTTCTGATCTGGATTGGAGAGGACACAACACGGTGCTTTCTTGCCCGTGATGGTCAAGACAAAGTCCTCACGAAACTCTGGGCGGATATCCTTGCGTAGCTTGGCCAGGAGTCGGGATGCCCATTTCTGCTTGATCTCGGGCTTTTCACCAAGTAATTCATCCTTCACAGCTCGTTCCTCATCTTTTGACATTCGCTTCTCGTGCTTCTTAAAGTACTTTCGTTTCCGAGCTTGCAGGTTGAACCATGTGTAGGAAAAGGCACGGACATGAGGAAGGAGAGCTTCAATGAAGGGGTGGAATTCATCCTGGGGAGAACAGGGTGAGAAGAAAGGATGCAAAACAAAGAAAGGAAAAATCCATTAGAATAAGAAAATCAGGAGGGGGAAGCATCACAACATGAAATTTATAGGACGGGGTAGAGAAACAGCAAAGTGAAAATACATAAAGCCAAGCTCAGAATGTGATTAATCCAGCTAAAAAATAAATACGATACTAGAAGAAGGATGACAAGCAGGAATTTGGGGAGGGGAGGGGAGGGGAGGGGAGAGAAAACAGTAGAATTAACATTGTTTCGACAATGCATTAGTATGGAAATCAAAAAAAAAAATCAGCATAAAGTTGTGGAAGTAAAATTTCTCTTCCTTTAAAAATAAAAGTACCGAAGTTTGTTTAGCAATGTAGGAATTAAAGACAAAATCAGTTCTGATTCCCTGTCCTAAACCCAAAGCTCTAAATATTCTTTATAAATTTAAATAATTTTAGTGGGCCTTCTAACTTTATTTTAAAAATAAAAATTTCCCTACAACAAAAACATCCAGGAAAAAAAAATAGTCAGAAATGGAAATAATTACCATTGCTCTGTCTCATCCCGGCGAAGCTAAGCCCCCGATTCAGAAATTCTGGGCTCAGAATTGTAGAGAATAGAAGGCGGACGATATTGTGGGTATATGGGGTGGAAGGTGAGGAAAGGAGAAAAAAGAGGAAAGTAAAACTGTACAAAGGAAGGGTACACAAGAGTGCTGGATATTTCTTAAATTAAGTAGAAAATAATTGTTGGCTGCATCTTTCACTACAAACTGTTCACCAAAATGTTCAAGTCTTATTTAATAAAATGAGTGGGAAAGCAAAAGGGAAGGACTAAAAACTGAAAGAAGGCAGCTAGGAAGGGAAACCTCAGCCGAAGACAGAAATAAATCAACATCACTCTGCCTGTGCCACATGCACAAAATAGGTTAAAAATGCCAAATGGCTGTTAAAAAAAATACTAACAACAATAACACCAATAATAGTGATAAAGGGAAGAAGGAAACAAAATTAAAAAAATAGGAAGGACAACAGCAACTAATCAGAGAGGGGAAGCTGAGACCAGGGAAGAATCTCTCTCAGCGTTGGCAAAGATGCAACTTAGATGTGGCTCCCTCCGCCTGAGAATAGGGGTGATCGCAGGTCTAGGGGAAAAGGGGCAGACTCCGCTCTGGGATCAGCTGTGATCGGCTGCTGGCAAAACCCAACTGCTGGGGTATGGGGGATTTTGTTGTTGTTGTTTCCCCCCTTTTTTTCCTTTCCCTTTTTCCTCCTAAACTCTCTGGCTTGCTTGCTTTCTCCTTTCATGCTCGGTCCCCAACCATTTGCCTTTGCCAATGCCAGCAGAAAAAAAGAGAGAGAGAGAGAGAGAGAGAGAAGAAGGATCCACCTATTTGGCAAGAAGACCTATCGTGGAGCAGCCAATGGCTGCATCAAAGGAAAAGGGAGGTGGAGGGGGAGGTTGGCAGAGAAGGAATCAGGGAGGGGGTGGCAGAGAGAGAGAGACAGAGAGAAAGAGACTGTGCAGTTAAGAGACTGAAAACAATTTGCCAAATCGACAAGTTCGTATCTAACAAATAAGCAAAGTCCAGCAGCAATGGCATTTTTATTGGCCTGCAGATTTTGGCTAGAATACAACTTGCAAAATATTTTAAATAAATAAATCTCCTAGGATACACCCCAAACTCATCTCCCCCCCCCCAAGACAGCCCCACAGGCCTCAGAGAAAGCAGCTGTTCTGTCTTTCTCTCTCCATCTTATTCTCCTTCTGTCACCTCTTGGCCCAACTATTTCTAGGAAAAGATCTGTTCAACTATAATACTCTTTAAGTATTTAAAGAGTATTTAGATTTAGCTTACTTTTTTCTTAGTTCAAGCATAGAAAGTCATTGTCCCCTGCCCCAATAATTTCTTCGTAAGTTCCTGTTATCTACCTAAGACTTCAGCCAGCCAGTCTGTCCTGTTCCTAGCAAAATATGAGTTTTCTGCACATTTCCCCTTCCTTCTGCCACTTCATCTTAACATTTGCCAAGAACTTCAATCCTTAGTGTTGGCCGTCAATCATTCATTTTGATAAAATTATTTATGTCTTCTAACCCCAAATCAATAAACCAAACATGACAAAACTTAAACATACTGTAAAGTTGGAATTATCCTGAAACTTTTTCAAGAGCAGCTATTTTAAGATATTTCATCACAACACACTTTTTGTTACCTGACTTTTGATTATGTTGCAAGTTTAAAACAAAGAGAATCAGAAGAGCTGATTAAAAATAGTATAAATTAATTTCAGATAGAGAATTCTAGGAAAAAGGAAAAGTAGTACAAAGAAAGACAATAAAAAGAAAATGTGTAATATTTATGTATTATATAATACAAAAATATATTATATGTATGTACAAATACACATTATATATCATATAAAGTGTAAGATTGAGGTAAACAAATGGAAGAAGAAATAAAAAAGTTAAAATGGGGAGCTTTAAAGAGGATTAAAAATATGGGCAAGAAAGTCAATAATAATGATTATGATTATTAATAATCATCCTACAATGATACCTTTAACACCATCAAACAACAATATCTGCTTATCCCAGGTCTCTAGGAAGGACTCAATAGGTGGATAAAAATACCAAATCCAGTCTAAACTTCTGGCTGACTATGCGACAAACAATAATAATAATACCAACATCTTCAAGACTACTAAAAGAAAAGTTGTTTACTGTCATAAATATACAAAGGTTTGAAAACAAAGAAATAATGACTTGTTATTACAAATCAATTGCAAATGGCAGCTGTACTTAGAATAGCTTACAGTCTGCAACAAAGCCTTTAATATTATTAAGCAACAACCTCTGCCTATCTCAGGTCTTTGGAAAGCATTTGATAGGTAGACAAAAATGCCAAATCCATATAAACATCTGACTGACCATGTGCACAACCATAATAATAATCAACCATAATAATAATCAGTCCTCCAAAGCTTTTGCTTCAGTATGGGAGCATTTTAGAGAGACTTGGGAAGTCATTCTTACTTTATTATAACTGAACCTAGTTTGTTTGTTCTTTGACTCAGCCCATCCATGCTCTTAGCACTTTATCGACTTCTCATAGGGCAACAATAACAGAGAAGCTCAATTTACAAACAATTCAGGGCACTACTCATACTGACGCAAAGGGCAGTATACATTCCTCTTAGCACTGCCATAGCTTGAGTATTTCTAGCTTTGACTATGCATGTGTGAGTGCAGTCCCTGATATACCAAATACACTCGTGAGAGGTAATCCATGGAGATAGCATGAAAGTCAGACCTATGCTGAGCCTTTTCTTTTCTAATGCCCACTGTCAGCTCCAGGCCTTGTTGCCAGGTTTTCAGCAGCCAAGTAGACAGCCAAATGAGAGTTCCGGATTTACATTTGCAAATCATAAGTGAAGGTTTGCCCTGCTCAGCTTAAATGGGGGGGGAGGAGGGGGACAAATGGCTGCTTCTCATTTCTGTCCACCCACAAATCTGGCATTAGCCAGTCCATTGGAGCAGGGTACAGAACCCTCCAACCTCTTCCCACACATAAACAGATTGCTTGCTTGGGAAAAGTATAGGCTGCCCCACACCTCTCTGTGACCCTAGTGACAAAATATCAAAGGACTGTGACCAGATACCTAAACCTGCTCCTTCTGCTCGATCACACAGATTATAGGTGAGCAAGCAGGCAGGCAGGCAGGCAGTTGAGGTGGAAAAATTCTCTCCAGGCACAAAAGCTTGGAGATTAATTTTCTGCATCTGTGTCATGAAGGGGTATATGTGCAAGCTGAAGCACAAGGAAATAGAATAAAGAAGATAAAAGAAAAATGAACTGCCCTTTCCCTCTCTCTCCTCTTTAGCCATCCCCCCAAAGATTTTCAAAATAAGTTGGTGAAATTTAAAACTCATTTGACTCTCATAACCTGGGAGCGCAAAGACTCCCAACTTCTTATATACACAGAATGCTTCCTTTAAATTAGTGTATTTCTTTTAACTTCTAAGTAACTAATACATTTTTTCTTTAATATAAGATTTGATATGGAGCTGAAATATGCTATTCCTCCATGTAAAAAAGGCACTGCACAAAATTAAATTTTAAAACCCAACTCTAGGGATACTTATGAGAAGCTGCAAATAAGTATAAATACCTTTCTTCCCCTCATAAAAGGAGTACCAATATCCATGTTTTATTCAATTTTTGGCCATGTACAAGTACAAACAACCCCAGATTTGAATTCGGTGTTGAAGCCCTTTGCAATATTTTTTACCTCAATATAATCAACCCCCTGAACTGATTATGAGATCTGACTAGCCCTAACAATGCCAGTCTATAATATGATGATACTTGGTCACAGCTAAAATTCTGATGTACTCTTTTCACTTTTCTGATACATTAAAACAAGCACACGTGTAATTTAATTGTTATCTTGCATCAGTATCAGATTTCTATGGGATTTATGGAGATAAAGACGCAAGTGAAATTCCACATTGGACAAGTAACCTATAATGTTTCATCTAGCATTTTTTATTCATTTAAAAAAGAGAGAGATGAAAGTGAATCGTTTTTTTTAATACTACATTGACGTTAATTTGAATATCGCTGTGGATATTTGTCATTTAATCAAAACAGAAACAGAAAGAGAGGCTACAAATGAAACAATGGAAACATCGTCAAGCATCGGCACCCACTGTTGGTGATTACAAAGGAAGCTGTTGACCGTTCAAACTAGAAAACATTTATTCTTATTTAGGGATTTTGCAACAGGTTTTTTTTTTTTTTTTTTTTGATAATGCATACTTCGGTACAGCAATATTAGGGAAATAACCTAATATCACAAAAACCTTACAATGGAATTAATCTGCCACATATAGTATAGTTGCTGTATAACTTCTATTCAAATCAGTGAAGTTCCTTGTATCATCCCCTGGTTTCCAACATTAAATAATAAAAGGCGACCATATACGAGAGGTCTAGTACAGAAGATTATTGTTTCTTGCAAAATAATAAATTGGAATATTTGACTGAAGAGAAAATGTGTGCATCATATTCTCCATCTAATCAATCAATAAACAAGTGAGGAGAAATAAAATAATGAGTACACCTAACTAGAAGATACACGACACCAATAGAAACATATCAATTAAAGGGAAAGAAGAAAGAAGAGTATATTTTTAAAAGAGTCATTCTAAAAACCTAGAGGGAAACAGATCAACTAGAGGAAAACAAAGAGTCAGCTCTAATATCTGAAACAGTTTCCCTGCCTCCTTTCACCAAAACAAAAACAAAACAAGTTTTTATCATTGCCATTCCAGTTTAAAGCATCGTCACTTTTATCTGCATTAACTAAAGATCTTAAGGGAATCATTTAAGAAAAAGTTTATTTAAAAGCATAGTTTTAAATGCTGATCTGGAGGTAGGGAATTCTCTAAACTCTGAGAAAACTTTTATATCAAAATTCTACATATGTTTACTCAAGAGTAAATATTGAGTTCACTACAGTGTGCTGTGCTCCCAAATGAGCATCTAGCGGACTGCAGAAGCTAATTGCTTCAAATAAAACTTTCCAACTTTTTGTCTATTTTCCGTGTGTGTATATGTGTGTGTGTGTTTATTTTTGCATTTTCATTTTTGGAGGCTCTCTTTCTCTCCCTCCCTCCTTCTCACTTTCACTCTTTTCCAGTAAGAGGATCAACTGTAAAGCTTTCTTGGGGTTGTCATAGAAACAGTCAGTAGCACCCTGGCAAACTACTTCCTTAGTGAATGAATAGCACATAAATTTCCACTCTCCACAGGGCTAGCGAGATCTACAACATATTAGCCTGTGGCTTGCTCCTGCCGTTTTTCCCCCCAGAGTGCAGAAATGAGAAAGCTTTTTTTGCTAAAAATGAGTCTATGGGACTCTATGTCCATCTTGGCTGGGTTCCAGATGGGGTACTAAATTTAAGATGGCTACATCTTCCCATCATTATAAAGAATGATGATATGCACTATTTTGCAACATACATCATGATATAGGAGCAAAGTTATACAAATACACAAACACACGATAGAAATTAAAATAAAAGAAATTGACTGGATGCAAACAACAACTTCCGGCATGGATTAGGATAATTAAACTGTTTTGTTATTGCCCGATAAGACAGAATAGTCTCCCAACATAATACTTTTTTAAAAATGTGTACTGTATATTGCACAATGCTCGCAATATACCCAACCTAGTCTCTCAGTAATTGCCAACTCACCTCTTTTAAAGTAATCATCAAATATCTCCTACTCATGTCTCTCCAATATTAACATAATTCATTTTCACAACTATAGGAAATATTTATTAATGTACATCTCACATTTTTGGCATATTATACAACAAAAACCCTAGAACAATATCAATCGATATAATAGTTATATCAGCTTGCTTTGCTTCTTCATTCTTCTGAGCCTTATAACACTTAGAGCCTGCTTGAAAAGTTTTTCTCTCTCTGACCTGATTTAGCACAAACAAGGGAAAACTGCAGTAGGCTCCACGTCCTAACGAACTTGAGTT